CACCATGTTGAACATGTTATCAGGCATGAAGCATAACAAATCTAATAGTGTGTGTGAGCATATTATGGAAATGAGGGACATTGCAGCTCAACTTAAGTCCCTTGAGATTGAGATCTCTAAGTCATTCCTTGTTCAATTTATACTTAACTCTCTCCCTACAGAATTTGGACCATTCAAGATCTCTTGTGGTCCATCAATGAAATTCTGACTATGTGTGTTCAAGAAGGGGAAAGGCTTAGGCATGAAAATTTGGAGAGTGCCCATTTGCTCACTCATAAAGTTGGACATGGTAAGAAAGGCAAAAGTGTTCTTAAATGGAAGAAAGATGGAAAGGGTCATTCAAAAAACATAGCCATAAGGATGGTTGCTTCTTTTGCAGGAAGAAGGGACAGTTCAAGAAAGATTGCTCGAAATTTAAGAATTGACTTGAGAAGAAAGGTAATCTCATATCTCTTGTGTGTTATGAATCCAATTTAATTGATTCTCATCATAATACTTGGTGGATTGATTCAGGTACTACAATTCATGTTGCCAATATCATGCAGGGCTTCCTCAGCCTAAGGAAAATGATGGGAAGTGAACATGACATATATTCAGGAAATGGGATGCGTTCACACGTCGAGGTTGTTGGAAATTTTAGACTTGTTTTAGAAACTGGCTTTGTTTTGGATCTTGAAAATACTATTTATGTTCCTTCATTTTCTAAGAACTTAATTTTTGTTTTTAAATTAGTACCTATAGGATTTGAATTCAGCTTTATTGGTTTGGACTTTCGTCTGTTCAAAAACTCTGGTTTGGTTGGTTATGGGACCTTAATTGATGGTTTGTTCAAATTAAATTTGGATCCTATTTTTGAACATAGTCTCCTAACCTTGCATGATGATATTGGTACTAAAAGGACTATTATTGATGAGAATTCCTCTATGTTGTGGCACATGAGATTAGGACATATCTCCGTGGAAAGAATTAAAAGATTGGTTAATGATGGAGTCTTAAAGGCTCTTGATTTTTTTGATTTTGGTACTTGTGTGGATTGCATAAAGGGAAAGCAAATCAACAAGACCAATAAAGGTGTCAAGAGGAGTGAAGAAATACTTGGAATCATAAACATTGATATCTATGGACCATTCCCTACACCTTTCTTAAATGGTCAAAGATATTTTATCTCATTTATTAATGACCATACACGATTTATGTATCTCTACCTTATGTTTGAAAAATCTGAGATGTTGGATGCTTTTAAAACATTCAAATGGGAAGTAGAGAAATAATTGGAAAAAGAAATTAAAATTGTACGGTCTGATAGGGGTGGAGAATATTATGGAAGAAGGTACACAGATTTAGGACAAAGGCCTAGTTCATTTGCTGAATATTTAACGGATGAAGATATTGTTGCTCAGTATACTATGCTAGGTTCACCTTACCAAAATGATGTGGCTGAAAGGCAAAATCTCAGCCTTATAGACATGGTAAGGAATATGCTAAGCAACTCTAATCTTCCTTTGTTTTTGTGGAGTGGAGCCTTGAAGACAACATTGTATATCTTAAACAGGGTTCCCACTAAAGATGTGTCTAAAACTCCATTTGAGTTATGGTAAAGATGGAAACCCAGTTTAGGAAATTTTCAGATATGGGGTTGTCCAGTTGAGGTTAAGATTTACAATCCACAATTAAAGAAATTGGACCCAAGGACAGTAAATGGATATTTCATTGGCTATGCAGAAAAGTATAAAGATTATAAATTTTACTGTCCATCACACACAACTAGAAGAAATGCAAATTTTTTGAGCGTGTTGACATTAGTGGGATTATTCCTCGAAAGATACCATACCCGTGAATAAAGATAAGATGGTTATTATTCAGGATAATCCAAATGATATTCAAATACCACCACCACAATTGGAACAAGTTAACAGAGAGTTTACAGCTCCAAACCTACAAAATATGGATGAGACTGTAGAACTAAGGAGATCCTCAAGGGTAAAAAGACCAGTTATTTTTTATGATTACTTCGTGTACCTATTGGAGTCTGACTTTCATGTTGGATATAAGGATGATCCTATCTCGTTTTCACATGCCATAAGTGGAGAGAATTCCACATTTTGGTACGAGGCCATGAAAGCAGAGATGGAGTCCTTGGCTAAAAAACAAGTTTGGAAAATTGATGAGTTACCTAAAGGAGTCAAGGTCGTTGGCTGTAAGTGGGTTATAAGAACAAGAAAGACTTAAATGGTAATGTCGAACGATATAAGGCCAGACTTGTAGCTAAAGGCAAAACTCGAAGAGAAGTAGTCATTGGCTATCACAATACCTTCTCTCTAGTTTTTAAAAATGACTCGTTTAGGATTATCATAGAATTAGTAGCTCATATTGATTGAGAGCTACATCAAATGGATGTAAAAACAACCTTTTTAAATGGGGATCTTGACGAAGAAGTGTACATGAAGCAACCTGAAAGATTTTGTTCTGATGAGGATATTCACCTAGTTTGCAAGCTAAAGAAATTCATATAACTAAAGCAGGCCTTCTGTCAATGGTATCTTAAGTTTCATAATGTTATTAACTCATATGGTTTTGAGGAGAATGTTGTGGATAATTGCATATAACTTACGGTTAGTGGGAGTAAATACATTTTCTTAGTCCTATATGTCGATGACATTCTACTTGCAACCAACGATTTGGGTTTGTTGCATAAAACTAAAGAATTTCTTTAACAAAACTTTGAGATGAAGGATATGGATAAAGCTTGCTATGTCATAGGCATATGGATTCACAGAAACATGACTCAACAAAAATTGGGCTTGTCTCATAAAGCTTACATTAAAAAGGTTTTGGAGAAATTCAGAATGAATGAATGCACACCTAATGCAGCTCCAATTGTAAATGGTGACAAATTCTGTTTGAACCAATGTCCGAAAAATGCTTTGGAAAAGGAACAAATGAATAGAATTCCCTATGCATCTCTTGTTGGCAGTTTGATGCATGCACATGTTTGTGTAATGGCCTAACATTGCATTTGCAGTGGGGATGTTTGGAAGGTACCAAAGCAATCCATGAATGGAACATTGGAAGGCAGCCAAGAAATTTTTGAGGTATTTACAAGGAACCAAGGGTTATATGCTGACTTACAAGCATGTAGACTATCTTGAAGTGGTTGGATATTCTGAATTGAATTTTACGGGTTGTTCGGATTCTAGAAAATCCACTTTGAGATATGTTTTCATGCTAGCAGGAGGTGCTATATCATGGAAAAGTACCAAACAGACAATAGTTGCATCGTCTACAATGGAAGCAGAGTTTATAGTGTGCTTTGAAGCAACATCATAGGAGAAATGGTTGAGAAATTTTATCACAGGACTTCAGATTGTGGATTCTATATCTAAGCCATTAAGACTTTACAGTGATAATTTGGCTGCTATTTTCTTTTCTAAGAATAATAAAAGTGGAAGCCAAACCAAACATATTAACATTAAGTATCTTATTTTCAGAGAAAGAGTCAAGGAACAAGAAGTATCTATTGAGCATATTAGTACAAATTTGATGTTTGCAGATCCCATGACTAAAGGGCTCTCAATTAAGACGTTTTTGAAATGTAGAGAGCATAGGATTAGTTGGCTCATTGTATGGTTGACTTCTTGGTTTGTAAATGTTTGATCATGATCAATGCAGACTTTAGCTAGTTTGTGCAGATAATGTATTGTTTGTGATATACTATCCATTGAGATTAGTATGTAGTCTATTAGGACTATAGGACCCAGAATGACTTGTAGGAAGTCATTCATAAGGAGTGATGCCACATAAAGTTATGAGAAAATGATGCATTTTAATACAAGGAAGGGAGTTTTCATTTAAAAGAGCACAACCGCTTTGGTTCATGCATTATTTTCCTCAATAAAGTTTGGGTAGTTATTTAATTGTATGGCCATATTTAGTATCAAATATTGGTTACCCAAATTGTCTGATGTGTCATGTGTGCCAAGTGGGAGAATGTTGGACTTTATGTCTAATTAATATTGGACTCTATCTCTAATTAGAGATTTAAGATGGCCCACATGCCATGCCATCTTTTTAATAAATAAATATTATGTATATTTAATATATATTCTATTTAATGAGTCAAATTCTTTTGGGAAACTGACGTTAAGGTAACTACCCTCTAATCCCATCATCAGATGAAGGCAACATCTTTGATGGGAGTAGTGGGTAGTTACCAAAGATGTTGTAACCCTCTAATGGAAGGACATTACTTGTAGTTTCTCTATTGGATAAGGGTCCTTGCCTATTATATTTTCATGCTTGTGATTTTTCATCAAGTCATATGTGTATTCAGATATCATATATGTAGGCAGGATACTCTTGTCTCATCTACCTTCATACAATACATATTTGTGCGGCTGTTCTTCTTGAGCATTGAGGTCAAGACTATGATATAGATTCGTGCTTGGGGTCATTGCATTCGTTGATTGTTCTCTCTATAGAGAATTTCGATTTCTTGTTCTAGAACTTGAACATCAATGGCAAGGGGTAAGTATTCAATTCCGCTATGCAAAATAAGAAGATTAAATTCTTTAATAAAGTCTATCATTTCAAGCTTCTCAACCACACACACAAGTCTGAGAGCAACAATAAATCATGGACTGCCACATTGCAAGATAGATTGAAATCTTACTTCCGAAACAGTATCTAAATTTTTGCCTTCATATGCTCCCAATCCACGAGCATCCAGAAAGCTGTATTCCGGAACTATACGACTATAATCCCCACAAGAAAAAAAGTACAGTAATTAAATTATATTTAATAGAAAATGCTACAACTAAGAGAGTACAATTATTATGGAACAATATCATACTATGATCTACTAATAAAACAAGGGAAAAAAAATATACCAATAAAATGTGCTACTACATTGCACTATTGATGAATCCAAACTTATGGTCCAAACTTTCATGTACAAAAAAATTTAGCAACTGTTGAAAACCCACTGTTCGTACTTCATTCCACTAAGTAGATCGAGTCTGGAAATAATTTTTGTACCTTCGATCAACCCCATTGATAGTAGCAATAATCTCAGCAGCCTGGTAAGCTCTCCAGGTAATGGAAGGACAAATCCAAAAATTCCCTTCAAAAGCCCCCATCGCCTTCAATGCCAAAGCTGCATTCATCATCTGCTTCTTTCCTTTATCCGATAAGCCACTATCCACTGAGGTTTTAGTAACTGGGTCAGTGTTAGTAACCCCTATGCTCTCAAATTCAGACTCCCCAGCTCTCACTAGAAAGTACCTACACCCACCCCACAACAATCAAAGCACATGCCCTACATATGAATAGCCTGAACACTTACAAGTATCTACATGCAGAATGTTAGCAATCTTTGACACAACCAGTTGACATAAGAAGAACTCGACACGAAATGAGTGGTTTAGGACTCAAAAAACTAAAACGTCATCTGCTACAACAAATAATAAACGGGTTAGTTAGTTTCAAACATGAATGACCTAAATTTGACATGATAAACATATTTTGTATGAAAAAATTATTTAATTTTTACCATGTTTTTAAAAGATTTTTGAGAAAACTCTCTCTCTCTCTCTCCTGAGATTAGAGTAGTGTTGTTGTCATTTATAATTGTTGAAGTTTACATGATAAGATAATACAGATAAACAAGAGTTTGAAATTGAAACTAGTAAGCCTAATATGATAACAACAATATATGTTGGTTCTAAGAGGATTCTATCCATATCCAAGACACACATAGAGATTTGCTTGATGGTCATCACGTGGTGGAGTACGAGACAATGCATCACTTTGTTGAGTAGTGGACTCTTGGTGTGATGAAGACTCATTATTACTCTCCCTCAAACGAGACTGGGGACAAAGGCCAAGTTTGATACGCAAAGAAATAAATTGTCCTTTAGACAAAGGCTTGGTAAAAATATTTGCAGGCTATTTTCCAGAGTGCTCAAACTAGGTAATGAGAGTACCCAGAGCAACTTTCTCACGAACATAATGAAAATAAATTTCAATGTGTTTTGGTGCGAGCATGAAACATGGGATTAGTAGTCATGTAAAGGGCACTAAGATTGTCACAATGTAAGATAGGTGTGCTAGAGAGAAAAATGCCGACATCACGGAGGAGATAAGAAATCCAAGTCAACTTGGCAGCAGTAGAAGCCATAGATTGATATTCTACTTCTACACTTGACCTGGCCACAGTGGATTGCTTCTTTGCACTCCATGAAATATCGTTACTACCCAAAAAGGTACAAAATCCTGTAGTGGAACGTCGAGTTAGAGGGTATCCAGCCTAATCAGCATCTAAAAACCCATAAAGGTCAAGAGTGATTGTAGCCAATATTCGCATGCATGATTATGAGTGCCATGAACATAACGTAATATACGTTCGACAACTCCATAATTTGCCATAGTGGGTGCATGCATAAATTGACAAACAAAATTAACACTATAAGAGATATTAGGTCTAGTGAATGTCAAATATTGTAGAGTACCAACAATGTTGGGTTTGGAAAAAGAACTTTATCAGTGGAAGGAAGGTGGCCCTTGAGAGCCATAGGAGTATGAAAAGACTTACAATTTTTCATTTGGGCACGAGCAAGAAGGTCTCGCACATACTTGGATTGACAAAGAAAAAGTCCTTCAAGAATTCGGTGAACTTCTATACCAAGAAAGTAGTGAAGATCACCAAGGTCCTTGATAGAAAATTCACACTCGAACAAACCAGTCCAAAAAGAAGGAATTATCCCCGATAAGAACCATGTCGTCCACATAAAGAAGAAGTAGAAGGGTGCCACGAGTAGAGTGATGATTAACCCTAAAAAGTGTATTAATTAATTAGGCTAAGAAGTTAATTGTGTGCGTAAATTAGGTTAAAAGTGTTGTGTTATGATAAATTAGGGTTAATGCAGAAGTTTACCTTTTGCATGGTTTTGTGCATAAATGCTGAAAGTCAAGAGTGCTAAAGTATGCAAGATAAATCAACAAGGGGAGGCAAATGTAACAAAGCCAAGACCACACCAAAGCAAGGAGTAACTTCACCACCAAAATCCAAGGAATAGCACCATCTAGACAGTGGTGATGGCATCTGGACAGTGGCTCAACTGCCTTAAGTCCTTTCTTCTCTCCTAATGGTCCAAAAATGCAACAGAACTCACTTGATTGGCCAGCCACATTCTGTCGCCTTAGAAGTCCTTCCCAATGCCTAAAAATAGGGATTTCTAACTTTAAATTCAGGGGAGATTAAGAGGAAAGTCGGAGAGACTTGGCAAGCAGCCAAAGAGATAGTTCAGATAGAGAGAAACTGAGCGGCGAGGCCCTGTCAAACCTACTTCACAGCTAGCACTTCTCTTACTTCTACATTTCTTTTCGTCCTTTTTATTTAGAGTATTGAACCTCTATCACTTTTGTGCCCTAAATAGTAATAAGAGTGGTAGTGTTTCAACTATTCCTCGGGGAAGGATCATTTTGTATTTTGTTTACTTTGTAATGGCCCTACATCGCACCTCTTTTTTGTCTATAGCAATGAAGTGTGAGTAGTCCGCTTATACCTCTTGGTGAAGGGTGAACATATGTAACCTATTATTTGAGTTATGAAAATGCCGATGTTCTACATTTCTCTACTTTAATTTTTATACCTCCCTTTAGTGATGGATGGTTACATTTATAATATGCTCATAGTTATGAACACCGAGCGGTACCTAATGCTATATACCATACTATTTATATTTATTACGTACTTCATGCATGATATAGTGATGTACGTAGTAGGGCTTTATGTAATAGTCGGAAGATTGGTTATAGACGGATTAAGGCTTGGCATAGCCAATTCCTTTGATTCAATGCATAAACCGGAGCACCATCATCATTAAATCATTAACTTGCTAGTTGAATAATTCTAGTATTCCTCCTGAATGGCTTGCCTTCTAGTTTACTAGGGTTATTTAACTGATGCATGGTACAGAGACCTTTCGGCTAACCTAAGCAGTTGATGTGTTATGGTTTAATATATATCGAACCTACCAGTTGACTTTCCAGTGACATGGGAGTTAATTGTTGTAAGGTGACATTTTCATTACTTAAATATATATAATGCATGTGGGATTGATTAACCCTATTCAATATGTACAGTAATATAGTTAAATAAGTTAATTTTGTAAGATAAAACAATTAAAAACTGTAAATTAGGGATTGTGCGTAAACTAGAGTTTATGTGTGCATTGTTTAAAATTTCAGGTTTTTTTGTACGGAATTGCAAAAAATCAGGAGGAACAAAATGTCAAAGATTAAAAGGACAATGGGAGCAAGTGCAATATCAACCAAGAATCAACAAGAACATTGGGGAAGTTGCCACCATAAACCAGCAAATCACCACCGTCCGGACGGTGGCTCTTATCGGTTTAAGCTCATCCTCCACCTCATGCTTCACCTTTGCCAACATATATGACTTGCCATCTTCATTCTTCAACCGGCTGGTGGGGAAAGAGAGAAACCAAGGGAGTCTAGAGAGAATTCAAGAAGAAGAAAGAGAGAGAAAGAGAGAAAAAGAGAAAAAGTCAAAGAGAAATTCAAGATCCGGTCCGTCCAACTCTCCAGCCAAAACTCTATATTTCTATATTTCTATTATGTCTTTCTACTTGGAGAATTGAACTGCTGCCCCTTTGTGCATTACCTGATAATAAGGGTGGTTGTGTTTCAATTATTCCTTGCAAAAAAAGTGTCAATGTCTGTATTTTATTTATTATTGTAATGAAAATTTCCCGCACTTCTTGCTTGTCTATAGTAATGGAGTGTGAGTAATTTCCTTATACCCTTCAGTGAGGGGTAAACATATGTATAATGTTGGTTAAATTATGAAAATGCTGATGTTTTATTATGTTTTATCAACATATATCTATTTATAATATGCTCACAATTATGAACACAGAGCGATATTTAATATTAAATACTATTTATAAATTTCATGCATGATACGGTGATGTACATACTTGGGTGTTACTACGTAGCTCGGAATTATGTTATCAATAAATCATCAACTTGCCGGTTTAATATCTACGGTGTTCCAATGGAATGGCTTGACCTCCAGGTGCATTGAGGATATGGCACAATTGTCAGATAAATAACCTAAATGATCCTCCTTAATGGCTTGACTTTCTTGTGACACCCAAAATCCGGGGGTCCGTTGATTATCCATCAACCCATGGAATACCTGTGGATACCTACTAATTCAATATCACGCCATTGTGCCCCATTTACCGAAAACCATAATTTTTACGAAATTCGAGTAAAGTCTCCTTTGTACGGGAAGCTCTATCCAAAACTCAACCTGTGCAATCATATAATAACAAGACCCATCCGAGGTCCAATATTCAACAATGACCACACCGGGTCCAATTATAAGTAAACATTGGTCACACCGGGTCCAATTATCCATATTTATATCAAAACATGTAAGGTTAGTTTAACAATAGTCTATATAAGTTCAATTACAATTATTTGCAAAAGATTACATGCCTAAAATATTATTTCCACAAATGTTTTACATTAACACAAAATAAAGTCATAATCCGGCCTTCTTCAAACATGAGGATCCAAGTGAGGGCCGTCCACTGGTGTGTATCCAAAACCTGAAATTTTTTCCCGTATAGGGTGAGCCACGCTCAGTAGACTAATTCCTACAGAAGCTACTCCCCACCTAAGTGTGCAGGCAATGCTCACATACAACATTTCATATTCACATCAACATTCCAAGTAAGAATATGCATTCAATTTTGGAATTTATCATGTCATGTCATGAAATGAGATGAGACTCACTCATGCACATCAACCCGAGCCTTTCCTAGCTCCTCACACATTCAAGTGCCAATGTGTATGGAATCGTCATTTATGTTGCACATCAAATGACTTTTACCAACCTAGGGTCTTTGTATGGGGTGGATGTTCATGGGTTTACACCAAGGGTCTCCAACCTACTCAGAATTTATAGACTTCTAGCAAGGGCTTCGCGTACGCCCACACACTTCATGAGCCAAGCCAATGGAGTGTGTAACCCAATCACCAGGCCTTGCACCCGAGGGATGTTCTAGTCCTTTCTTGCTAACCCCAACCCTAATCACCATGCAACCTGTGCGACTCGGCCAAGTCTTCGACCAAGCTTAATGGAGTCCACTCGTCATCCACTAAGTGTGGTGTAGACGACAACCATGCACACACCCACATGATGCGATGTTACCGTGCATATGCAATATGATGTCTCATTGCACAATTAT